AAGGAAGGAAGGAAGGAAGGAGAGACAGAACTGGATGTCCTGACAGGGCACTGAGTATTCAGTTCACAGCCATTCCTCTGGGTCCCATTTTCCCCTTCAGTAAGGTGGAAGTAATTGGGTGCCTCCCAGGTTGAAAAGGAATCACATGTGAGGGAGACGAGAGCTGTTCATGAACTGCCCAGCTGGGACTTGCAGAAACATTCTGAACAAGGTCAAAGTAAAACAAATTGTGGACCATCCCCAGAACGCTCTGGCCCAGGAGGCTGGTGGCCTGGCCCAGGTGAAGCACCTCTCCTGGAGCAGCGGATTCTCCCTCCCCCCTACCCCACTCAGGTCCAGGAAAGACACAAGGGTGGGGGTGGGGATGACTGCTGGCCTCGGGGACCAGTGTGAGCAAGAACTGTTCCAGATATCAAGGTCCAGCGGCTCCGGTGAAGCAGCCCTTACTTCCACCAACTGTGCAAATGTTCACAGAGCTGTGATTATACCTAACACTTATTTAGCACCTAGTATTTGCCAAATCCCTCTCCAAAAGCTTCAGACACAGTAAGTCATCCTGCCCCAACAATTCAGTGAGGTAGGAACTATTTTTATCTCTAGAGTTAAGGAAACGTACATGCTGAGAAATCACGTGACAAGCCCAGGAATGTTAGTCAAACCCCATCTCAACCAATATCTGGCCATGGTGGCATGTACTTGTCATCCTAGCTAAAGGAAAAGTGAACACAGAAGAATTCTGGTCCGGGCTGGCTCAGGCAGAAATGTGAAACCCAACCCAAAAAGTAAATATAGCAGAAAGGGCTGGAGGCATGGCTCAAGTGGAGAGCTCCCTTCCCTTTCTTTCCTGAGTGCAAGGCCCTGAATATACCCCAGAAGAAAAAAAGAGAAGCCAGGTGCTGGTGGCTAATACCTATAATCCTACTCGGGAGGCTGAGATCTGAGGATCATGGTTTCTGAAAGCCAGCCAAAGGAGAAAAGTCCATGAGACTATCTTCAACTAACCAGGAGTAGGATGGTGGCTTAAATGACAGAGGGCTAGCCTTAAGCAGAAACAAACAAAAACAAAAACTCTGAGACAGCACCCAGGCCCTGAGTTCAAGCCCAACACACACACTAAAGAGACAGGCAGGTCCGGCTCAAGTCTACAGCAATGAGTATTGCTCAGACGCCCCACTGAAAAGTCACTGTGTGATCTTCAACACAAGCCGCCCTCGCTCAGGGAGGCCATGGAGCCAAAGCCACCTCCACCAACACGGAAGCTATCCCGCTCCTTTTACTGAGAAACAAATGGAGGCGCAGAAAGGTGAAGCCACTTACCCAAGGCCACCCAGCAGGTGACAAACAAAGCTTGGACCCAGAAGCCTCAGTCCAAGCAGCCTGCACTGGAGCTGGAGACTAGAAGGCCCAGTGCTCAGGAAGGGACCAAAGGACCCCAGGTCAGGAAGCAGCGCCCCCCACCAAACTGTGCCTTGGAGGGACTCCCTTTCCCCCCAGCACAAGGCAGTGGCTGGCTGCCGAGGGCACTGTCCCGTCAGGTGTCCCAGCTCCTTGTCCTTCCCTCCCCGGAGCCCAGAGCCCACTGTACCCGATGAAGAGCGTGCACAGGATGAAGATGACCAGGCCCACGATGCTCGGGGCGTCCCACCATTGGGTCTCGTAGTACGCAGGGCCTTCGGGGAGCGTCTTGTTGCTCTGGGGGCCCGGCAGGTGAGGGTTGCACTTCTGGTCTAGGGGAGGGAGCACAGTGTCCCTCAGCCTGTGTCAGCCAGGGCTGTAGAGCCGGGGAGCCCTACGGATGGTGGACAGACAGCTCCAGGAGCAGATGACCACCCCCCGTTCCCCCCCAGGACTGAGTCTGAGACGAGTTGAACTGGGACATCCCTGCCCCCTGTGGAGGGTCCCCAGCCCTCAGCAGGCTAGGCCTCCTTAAGCCTAGGTCCATACTCACCAGGGACGTTGGACAGGGCTGACCAGGTGACAAACATAGTGTACAGGGTGACAACGGAGGCCTGCAGCAGACCTGAGTTGGGCTGGGCCTCCTGGTGAGAGATGTTCCCTGGTGAGACCCTGGCCCCACCCGAGCCCTCCCCCCTCCAGCCAACCCGGCCACCACCCCTCCCCACCCACACCCTCTTTCTCTCCTCAGCCCTCAGATTACAGACTACCCCCCACCTGCCCTCCAGCGAACCCTTCAAGGGCAGCATTGAAAAGGTGCAGCCTTTCAGTTTGTTCTGTCTTTACCTCCACCTCCGATCTGCCACCAGGCCACACTCCAACCACTGCGGCCTCCTCTGTGGACATAACTTGCAGAACCCTTGCCTACCTCAGGGCCTTTGCACTTGCTTTGCCTCTTCTCGACACATTTGTTCCCCAATCTCCACATAGGTGATACCTCCTTGGTAGATGAAGGACTTCTGAGGAGACCCCCACCGGCCCCTACCTTCTAGCCATACTCCCAGCCTCTAGCCTCCAGACTTGCATTTTGTGGCCTCGTCTCTTATTGCCTGTCCTTTCCCATCAATCACTATACACACACTTGAAAATATGAATGGAGCCGGGCACCGGTGGCTCACACCTGTAATCCTAGCTACTCAGGAGACTGACATCTGAGAATCGTGGTTCAAAGACAGCCCAGGCAGGAAAGTCCATGAGATTCACAATCGCCAATTAACCACCACAAAACTGTGGCTCAAAGTGGTAGAGGGCTAGAGCCTTGAGTGAAAAGAGTTCAGGGACAGTGTTAAGGCCCCTAGTTCAAGCCACAACCAACAAAAACAAGAGGAAGAGGAGGAGGAGGAGGAGGAAGAAATGAGTGGAAACTGCAGGCTCTAGAAGTAGCCTGCCTGGGTTCGAATCCTACTTCCACCATTTACTAGCTGGGTGACCTTGGCTAAGTCTGCATTTTTTAAGAGGAGGGGTAGTACTAGGGCTTGAACTCAGGGTCTGGGCACTGTCCCAGAACCTTTTGCTCGAGTCTGGCACTTTACTACTTGAGTTACAGCTCCACTTCTCAAATTTGGCGGTTAATTGGAGAGAAGAGTTGCATAGACTTTCCTGCCCAGGCTGACTTGAAATCAGGATTTTTGATTCCCAGTCTTCTAAGTAGCTAGGATTACAGGCATGAGCAACTGGCGCCTAGTTCAAGTCTGTATTTTTATTGTGTGTCTCAGTTGTGGAGCCTGGGCACTATCCCTGAGGTTTTTTTTTGCTCAAGGCTAGCGCTCTACCACTTGGAGCCTCCGCTCCATTTCTGGTTTTCTGTGGTTAATTGGAGCTAAAATTATCATGGACTTTCCTGCCAGGGTGGGCTTTGAATTGTGATGATCAGATTTCAGCCTCTTGAATAGTCAGAATTACAGGCGCAAGCCACCAGCGCCCAGCAGGCGCTGTTTGCCCCTCTGTGAAGGGGGAAGATGATGATATGGATCACGTGACAGATGCTACTTATGGCCACCTTCCTCACAGCTATTATCTCCACACTTAGAATAGGGCCTGGCACACCATAGGTGCTCAGGAAGTGTTTTGATGAATGAACTCTTGATTGCTGTGTGACCTGGGACAAAGCATCACCCTCTCTGGGCCTCGACTTTCTCACTGGGGAATAGAAGCTCTGAGAAAAAGTCTTTCTGCCAGAGACCCCCTAAAGACCAGTATGCCAACTGTGAACACCCTGGCATACTGAGATACAAACCGGGAAGTAGGCCTGGATGTTCAATGTAATCCAGAGGTACTTTTAGAAGACTCCTCTGGGACACGGCCAGAGTCTTGGATGTTCTGGGTCGAGACACGGTGTATTCACCACCTCCTGGGGACCAGGAGCTCTCTGACAGTTCCCAATGCCACAGAACCCAAGCTCCTAGGGGAAGTCCCACTCCCCAAGGGCTGGGGCTACAGGCAGGCTCACCTGGACTTTGGGCAGGACAGCAATGATGGAGACACAGACGCAGAAGGTGAGGTTGAGGCTGACAAAGATCTTGCCCTCATGGCAGGTTCCCGGCTTCGTGTAGTAGATGAACATCAGGGCAATGGCCGCGACAGAGAGTGCATAGAAGAGGAAGGTGAAGAAGAAGAGACCTGGGCAGAAGGCAGCAAGCAGTAGCCTCAGGAGGCAGGAAGCACAGCAGCTCCTGCCCCAAGAGGTGGGTGCCAGGCAGTGCTACCCCGCCTCGAGCCTGTTTCCCCAGCTGAGGAGTGACATCTATGTCTCCCACAAGCCACATTTTTACCCAAGATGATTCAACAAGTGCTTGTCATCAGAAAATCCACGTATTTACTGGGCACCCCACGACCTGGTCCTGAAGCTCACGCCTCTAATCTTAGCTACTCAGGAGGCTGAGATCTGAAGGTCTTGGTTTGAGGCCAGCCTAGGCAGAAAAGTCTACTGAGACGCTTATTTCCAATTAACTAGAGAAAAGCTGGAAGTGCAAGTGTGGCTCACATGGAAGAGTGCCAGTCTTGACTTTTAAAAAACAAACAGACAAGCAAACAAGCAAGAGCCGGGCACAGTGGCTCATGTCTGTAATCCTAGCTACTCAGAAGGCTGAGATCTGAAGATCACAGTTTAAAGGCAGCCCAGGCAGGAAAGTCTGTGAGACATTTAGCATCAATTAAGTACCCTAAAAAGCAGAAAGCAGAGCTGTGCCTCAAGTAGTAGAGTACTAGCCTTGAGCACAGAAGCTCAGGGACATCATCCAGGCCCTGAGTTCAAGCCCCAAGGCCGGCACATGCATGCATGCATGTGTATGTGTGCACATACACATGCATACACATGCACGCATGCGTGTGAATAAAGCAAGAGTGCAAGGACTTCAAGCCCTGTGCTGGCATCAAAATAATAATATGAAATAACAAACTAAAAACTAAGTGCAAAGGGAAAGGTGGATGAGGCTGCTGGGGTGGAGAGAGGTGGGGAGGGGCTGTCCAGAGGTGGAGGAGGTAGAGCAGCCCCAGGGTTGAGTCTGGTGACTGAGTTCACTCGCGAGAACTGGGGACTCACTCTGCCCTTGGAGCTCCAACCACCAGGTGCCACATGAAGTCTGCCCAGACACCACCAAGGGGATCTCACTGATGGGCTATGCTCCGCCCACCCCCCCCCCCCCAGCTCGAGGCCCTGTATGGAGTAGAGCGGCACTGACCTGCGTACCAGCCACGGGAGTCGCACTCCTCGGCCTTGCCCAGCCACCGCTGGTTCCAGGAGTGGGCAAAGTCGACCAACAGGATGAGCTGGATGAGGATGAAGAGGAAGGAGCCCACAACGCCAAAGTAGAACCAGACTGGGAGAGAGGAGGGAAGGGGTGAGCCAGGGGTGTGGCCATGGGGCGGCAGCCATTCTGCCCTCTCCATGTATATGCATTCTACATTCTATACACATTCTATCCATGCCACCCCGAGATGCAGGCAGGGTGGAAGAGCAGAGGTGGGGGCCAAACCGGCTCTCCAAACTCCTGAATGGCCTCCAGGCTTGAGGTGCTGTCTCGAGTGGAAAGGTCAAAGACCAGGACTGTACCTAGGTCAGGGGTTCAGGGTAGAGCAGCCCCCTTTTCTCCAGACCCCAGTCCCATCCCCCCGCTGTCCCTCCATGCTCCCCCCTGCCACCTACTCTTCGAGAAGGAGCCATCTGGTATGTAGAAGGCACCCACGGCGATGCCCACGAGGACCAGGAACTTAAAGAACCAAAACCTATGGCAGGGGAGGGAAGCGGGTGGCAAGTTGCTGAGTCTGGGCAGGGACACCGGAAGCCAGAGCGGGCCTGTCCCAGAACCCCCGCCCCAAGAAGCAGGACCTGGGAGCGAGGGGATCGGGGACTCTCTAATGATCACAGTCTGTCTACCCTTAGAAAAATCCCCAAGCCCAGGGCAGTGGAAGGAAGGACTAGCCACAAACACAGTTGCGAGCATCTGGCCCAACCATGTCAGCTGGACTCTGTGTGGTGCTGTGGTGTCCTTTCTGAAGGTGTGTATGTGTGTGTTCACTTGGGCTGGAAGTCAGGGGCTGAAAACTGTCCCTTAGCTTTTTCACTCAAGGCTGGTGCTCCACCACTTGAATCACAGCTCCCCCTCCAACTTTTTGGAAACTGACTGGAGATAAGAGTCTCACTGATGTTCCTGCCTGGGCTGAATTTGAACCACAATCCTCAGATCTCAGCCTCCTGAGCAGCTAGGATTACAGGCATGAGCCGCCGGTGCTGGCTTGAGCTTTCTTTCCCAGTCTGAGTAATGGGCATAACTGAGCGCACAGTCCTCTATGAAGAGGCCCCTGGTTCCATAGCTCACATCTCCGGGCAGGGTCTGGGGAACTCTGGAGACAGGCAGGGAAGGAGAGCCACTGGGGGCGGGTGCCAGGCAGGAGGAGGGCCCCTCACCCATTCTGGATGGCGGCCCGGGGGTCCCGGCTACTGCGCACGCACACCATGAGCAAGGTAAAAAGGAAGAAGAAGGCTGCGGTGGCGAAGCACATGCGGTAGACCGCGCGGAAGCCCAGCAGGGAGCCGCAGTCCAGGGGGCCCTGCAGAACAAGGGGGGTCTGGGCCCCATCCTCGCACACCCAGGGGAGCTGTGGAGACAACAGAGCTGCGTGAGGTCCCCCCCACCCCACCCAGAGCCCCGCAGCTCTCCGCAGGGCTGAGCCCCGCTCATCTCCACCCTCCACCTCCTCCCGCCCACCTGCCTGATTCCGAGCTACCCTGTCCCTGGGGTCACCCCAGGCCTGGTAGACTGTTTGGCATGGCTTCCTAGAGTTGTGTCTGCCCCACTGCCTGGGTCAAAGCCACTGGGGGCTTGGGGAAAATGGAGTCACATTGGAACCTCGGCCTAGGACGAGGCCAGGTTCCTGGGATCCTCATCCCACACAGGGCTGCCTCCCTAAGCATGCCCTGGGGCAGGGCCGGGTGGGGAGACACTGGGATGAAGGGGACAGTCAGGACCCCCATATGGCCACTCCTCGGGGGAAGCAGCTCCTGGCTGGCATCCAGGAGGCAGTGATAACGGAGGATCCTCCAAGGAGGCTGTGACCTAGGGGAACCTGGGCTCCTCCGCTCCCACCACCTCCCCCTGACTGCTAGGCCCCACCTTCCAGTCTGGAGCAGCTACGCCCAAAAGCCCACAGCAGGCTGCTCACCTTGTACAGCTGACTCTCCACCCCCGGGCTCAGCATGATGATGGAGACCAGCACTCCCAGGAAGAGGAAGCCGGTGAACAGGAGGCGGCTCACAGTGGAGTTGCGGCTGGAGGGGCAGCAGCTGCACAGGATGCAGGGGGCAGAGCCGCAGAGGCAGGAGGCCTGTGGAGGATGGGGCGACAGCAGCACCGAGGTCACTCTCTGCCGAACCCTCCCTGCCTGGGCAGCATCTCAAGCCTGGCTGAGCTGGTGAGAGCGGTCTTCCCCAGATGATGCCCATGTCCCTTTCAGGCTGGAGGGGGGAAACTGAGTCACATAAGACCACAAGCTAGTGACAGAACAGACTCGGGCTGGAGGTATAGCTCAAGTGGTAGCAAGCACAAGGCCCTGAGTTCAGATCCAAATGCCACCAGAGAAGGTAAGGGAGGGAAGGAGGGAGGGAGGGAGGGAGGGAAGGAAGGAGAGAAGGAAGGAGTTTAAAAAGAAGCCAGGCTCCAGTGGCTCGTGCTGTAATCCTAGCTACTCATGGGCTGATCGCTGAGGATCATGGTTCAAAGCCAACCCTGGGCGGGAAAGTTTGTGAGACTCTTATCTCCAATTAACCATCAGAAAACTGGAAGTGGTGCTGTGGCTCAAAGTGGTAGAGTGCTAACCTTGAGCAAAATATCTCTGGGACAGCACCCAGGCCCTGAATTCAAGCCTATGACTGACAAAAAAAAAAAAAAAATTAGAGGCCAGTTCTGAAACTGAACGTTATACAACATTATACAATTTGCACAACCTCTCTTGAGTCTATTTCCTCTTCTATAAAACTGAGGCCCTTGAAGTACCTACTCTTCATAGGGCAGTTTTGAGATGGAGAGAGAGCTTGTCCCTTCATTGCTTGGTTTTTTTTCCTCTTGTTTGATAGGCTTTGTGTTCCCTATTTTTGTCTATTTTTTCCTCACTGTGCTAGTTTCAGAAACTGAGTGCCTGGTACACATTAGGGACTCATGGGCTACCTGTTGAATGGAAGAATCTGTCATAGAACCAGACACATGTTAAGACCTTAAAAATCAGCAAGTGCTCATTAAACATCTGTTGAATGAGTGAGAAACCTGAGCGGTCATTTCCCATGGGTTATACCAGTTCTGGACAGCAGGTGGCGGTCTAGGCACTTCCCCTCTCCAGTAGGTGGCCCATTCTGCCTCAGCTCTGACCAGGGTGTGGTCAAACAGGTGAGTCGCTGGAGAAGCCCCACCATTCATAGCCAGTGGGGGCTAGGGAACACGACTCACCCTTCTGCAGGCCCATCCACAGCCCAGCACTTACAAACCAACCACAAACTGCCCCAGTCCTCCCCTAGGTACATAAGAGACCTGGAGGGAGACATAGAGCCCCAGAGCAAGGCAGAGAATGGTCCCACTGAGGGGACTTTGGGTGGCAGGAGCTGGGCACTGGGAGAAGGGGAAGGGGCCATGGTGGCAGGGGCTTCATGAGCTGGAGGAGAGCTTCAAGTGATGGGGTGAGGCCAGCTGAGGGAGCCAGACCACACGCGACAAGGCGGCGCACCAGCACTGAGAGGGTGGGGAGGAGCAGCCCACACCTGTAGTCCCAGCAATTTGGGAGGTGCAGGTAGGGGGATGGTAGGAATTCCCAATCCAATCAAGCAAAAAGCACCAGATCTTATCTGAAAAATAACTAAAGGGGAAAAAAGGAAGGGGAGGGCTGAGGGTGTGACTCAAATGGCTGAGCACTCAGCATGGAGTTTAAAAAGAAAAAAAAAAAGAAGCCGGGCGCTGGTGGCTCACGCCTGTAATCCTAGCTACTCAGGAGGCTGAGATCTGAGGATCGAGGTTCAAAGCCAGCCCGGGCAGGAGAGACTGTGAGACTCCTATCTCCAATAAACCACCAGAAAACCGGAAGTGGCGCTGTAGCTCAAGTGGTAGAGCGCTCGCCTTGAGCTGAAGAGCTGAGGGACAGTGTCCAGGCCCAGAGTTCAAGCCCCACGACCGACAAAAAAAAAAAAAGAAAGAAAGAAAATCACTGGACAAGTCAAGAACAGGAGGACTGCGCTGGGTGCAAGTGGCTACCCTGTGATCCCAGCTAATCTGGATGCTCAAAGCTGAAAGATCACAGCTTAAAGGCAGCTCAGGCAGAAAGGGACTAGAGACTCCATCTCCAATTAACCAGCAAAAGGCACGGCTGGAGGTAGGGTTCAAGTGGTAGAGCCCCAGCCCAGCAAGCAAGCAGAGCAAGCGTAAGGCCCTGCGTTCAAGTCCAAGTAGTGGCACACATACACATACCAAAAAAAAGAACAGTATTGAACTTCAAGTAATAAGCTATATCCAACGATATCTAAATTATACCTTGACTCTGATGTGTGTCATACTTACTGATGGGAAAGCAGACTTCTAAAGGTGAAAGGAGCATCGTCGAGTGAGAAAGCTGAGGAGCCAGGATCCCAGCTCAGTTCTGAGGGCTGCGAGGACCTGGCTCCGTCCACAGAGCCACACCACTTCCCAGGCCAAGAACCCATGACAGCAGTCTTTTTCATTACAAAACAAAAACTAAACTACTGAGTGCTGGTGGCTCAAACCTGTAATTCTATCTCAGGAGGCTGAGATCTGAGGATTACAATCCAAAGCCAGCCCAGGCAGGAAAGTCCCGGAGACGCTTATCTCCAGTTAACTACCAGAAAACCAGAAGTGGCAGCGTGGCTCAAAGTGATAGAGCTCTAGCCTTGAACAAAAAGACCTCAAAGACTGTGCTCAGGCCCTACAGACACAAACAAACAAAAACAAAAAGACCTCAGGTGAAAATCCTTCCTAAGCCAGAAGAAAGCCTGTAGGCCACAGGAAAACTGACCCTAGTTAGGCCCTGACTCTAGCTTGTTACTGTTTCAATTTGAGAGGAGACCGCTGCCCTGTATTCAGGGAGCTTAGCCTTTTCAATCCACTCTGGTTCTTAGGGATCCAAGTGCAGGTGTTCCTGATACCTGAACCTGAGGATCTCCCAGGGCCTAATCAGGAGCCAGAGACCAGCGCAGATTTTTTTAAAAAAGAAAGAAAAAAAGCTCCTGGCAGAGCAAAGTTCACGCACTTGGAACAGCTCCTGCGACTTTTCACTCTCACACACACACTAGCCAGGGGGAGGGGAGCCACCCAAATACACGGAAGTGCCCTGTGGCACTAGGCATGATGGGAAATAGCCAGGGTGCTGAAAGCTAAATGCCCATCTGTGCAGCGTTAGCGTCGTACCTACAATGGGGGCTTTTCTGGCACACACACACACACACACACACACACACACACACACACACACACACACACACACACACACACACACACACACACACACACACGGTGCCAGTGCAGACAACACATAACTGAAATACATGGACCTATGTCTAAATTAAATTAACTCTCTCTTGATGATTTTACAAAAAAAAATAGCGAGGAAAATACTAAGGCATAAAACTCTAAGTTTTGTGAACTTACTGGAATCTGTAGCAACTGCAACTAACCTTCATCTTCATCACCCGGGGGCAGCGGAAGCCCTCTCACTCCTGAGAGTGGCTAGAGGTGAGCAGGACAGACGTCCTGAGATGGCAGAACTTTTGGCAGTGAGAAAGCCCCAGACAGCACAAACAGGATGTGAGCATTCCAGCCCCTTCTAGCTTCCTCCCAGCCCCCAGCCCCTTTACACCAGCACTTGAGAGAGGAGCGGCAGCAGAGGAAAAGTTCAGAACATCAACAGCTACTGACCCTACATGCCAGCCCAAAGGAGAACTCAGAACTTAAGCAATCCTGGATCTGGGAGCTTGGGGGCTGCAAGATTTCTTAATATTTAACCAATTCAATCTCTGTGCAATGAAGATTCACCCAGAAAGCTGCCTGCCATCCTCTGCTGTTGGTACTCTGCCAGCGACAACCTCCCCTCGCAAACTGGGCGGTCTGGAGCTGAGCAGGGGCTTGGCACAGTGAACAGGGTCACTGTGTCCTTCATCCTCTCCTGACCATCTCTGGAGCCAGTGACTCCGGTTCTCAGAACCAGTCTTGAGTCACTGAGTAAAGTAAGAGAGGCAACTCTGGGCTGGGCCACTGCATTGAGTTGTGTTTAAAATAAGACAAAGTATGCCTTCGCTTTGATATATATCTCCAAAGGAATTGAAAGCAGAGACACAAACATATGTACACATACATGCTTGCAGCAGCTTTGTTCACGGGAGCCAAAAGAGAGAAACAACTCTTAAGACCAATGGTGGATGCAAATGCAAAATGTGGTTGAGAGATACAATGGCCTGTTACTCACTCTTAAAGAGGAAGGAAGTTCTGACACGTTTTATAAAATGCGGGAACATTGAGGACATGATGTGATGATGTTAAGTGACGTTCACCAAGCAGAAAAGACCACTTCAGATTGAACCTGAGCCATCTAATCTCCTGGCAGGAATGGGAGATCTGCGTAACGAGGGACCGGGAGTGACTGTGTGTAGCGGAAGATGGCACAGGGCTGATGCTTGCACAACACCGTGGGGTATTTAATGCCATTCAACCACATACTTAAAAATGGCTAAGCAGGCCGGGCGCCCGTGGCTCACGCCTGTAATCCTAACTACTCAGGAGGCTGAGATCTGAGGATCACGGTTCAAAGCCAGCCCGGGCAGGAAACTCCGGTGAGACTCTCATCTCCAATACACCACTAGAAAACCAGAAGTGGCACTGTAGCTCAAGTGGTAGAGCACTCGCCTTGAGCTGAAGAGCGCAGGGACAGCGCCCAAGCCCAGAGTTCAAGCATCACGACTAACAAAAAAAAGGCTAAAAAGCCAGGCACTACTGGCTCATACCTGTAATCCTAGCTACTAGGAACTGCCTCCTTGAGGTCTTTGTGAGGATCAAATGAAAAGACCCTGTATAAAGTGCTCACAGCAGCGCTGGGCCCATAGAAGGGCTCAATGCTCTAAGTGCTGGGTCTATAGGAAGGAGAGAGTCAATGATCATTGTTGATATGGTCATCTGTAAAATAGCAATGACATCACAGGGCTGGGGCAGAGCCAGACCTGTACATGTCAGAGGTCAGAACTCCAAAGAGAGGGCACAAAAAGGGGAGATGGGCTCCTTGCAGATACTAAAGGCTCAGTGCCTCTAGTTCTACCCTGGGCCAGTACCCTGCCTCCATCCCTCCCCCCCCCCCAGGACATATGGAGAAGGAGAAAAGGTGAGGGCAGCAGCCTGGAAGAGGAAATCTCAGTCTAATCCTGTCTTTGCAGTTCCTCTCCACCCTAAGGCAAGTGAGCTAAGTTCACGGGCTGTTTCCCTCCGTGTACATGGAGAGTTTCCAGGCCTCTCTGATCTGAGAGATCCACACTTAGCACAGGGCTCTGTATTCTCCAGATGGAATTCTCCAGGATGGCAGCTCCCACATAGAGAGAGCACTCAATGTAGGCCAGCAGGAGCCGGGCCAGCACTTTGCACATCTTCTTATAGCATCTTCAGGACGGCGCTGCAAACCGCTCAACTAGGGCAGGAGTGGGAGCCCACAGCCACAGGGGATTGGTAGGTCCTTCTTCAGACCCCACCATCACGAACCACCCTTCCAGGCTAGGCAGGACCAGATGGGAATCTGGTGGACTGTGGGAAGTTCTGCTGTGATACAACAGGACCTGGGCAGGGAGGGGGGTTCAGGCACCAGATGATCCTCCTCCTCTTCTCTCTCTTCCTCCTCTTTTTCCATCTCCTTCTCCTCTTCCTTCTTCTTCCCTCTTCCACACATAATTCACAAACGAGAGATCCTGAGAGGACCAGAAATGTGCCCAGGGGCCCCCTCCCCCCTCCCATTCTGCAGCCTCCCTTAGGCTGAGATCATTCTCAGAAAATGGCTACAAAGAAAAACTCTAGATCCTCAGCTCTGGCGGCCCCGCAAGCCCCCTCCCACCACACACAAATCCGGGACAAAGGAAAGCAAGTCCTAAGCTTTCCTATGGCAGACACGGGGGAGCTCCGTCTCAGCTCCTCCCACCCCTCTTTGTGTGGGGCCAGAGAGGGGAGGGAGCTGCCTGAATGAACCTCAGATTTAATGAGGGGAAAAGGGAAAGGAAAGGGGGCCTCGCAGCCGGGGTCTGGCTCGAGCTCCTCAATGCTGGCTGCTGCCCCAAAACAGATCTGGCTCCCCCCCCCGCGTCCCCCCCGATATATCTCCAACACAGGACACCAGGCACGCACACCCTAAAACCGTCCTGATTCCTGGATCTCCAAACCTAAAGTTTGGCCCAGGTGGTCTTTGACAACCGCACCCCAGCCCAGCCCAGCCCAGCCCAGGGGCGAAGAGGGAAGCGCTGGAGCTTGCTGGAGAAGTTAAGTGGCCAAGAGTCAGCCTGGTCGGACTTCGCCAAGCAGACCAGGCTGCACAGAGACTGAGAGACGATGGGCAGACGGACCGACAGACCCCGAGACACGTACGGCACCAGCTGAATCGTCAAACTAAGTCAGATGGATGGGGGCAGACCGACTGGCAGACAGACAGGGAAGAAAGAGGGACGCAGCAGACAAGGGCGGAGATAAGGCAGCACACAAAGAGTCAGAGCGTCTGGGAGAGAGAGGAGAGGCGCACGCCGAAGCCCCTCCAAGTCGGGCGGGCGGGGGCGCGGGCGCAGCGCCCCTCCGATCCGCCCCCAGGCCTCGGACCCCCGGTTCCCAGGAGGGGCGCCCGCCGCGGCCCGGCCCGCCCGGCCCGAGCGCCACACCCTCCCCCGCGGTAACCCGAGCGGCGACACCAGCTGTCCAGGCGGCCGCGCGCCCGGAGCGAGCGGGGTGGCGCCGGGGCGCCGGGCGGAGAAGGGTCCCGGGGACGCGGAGGCGGTGCGGACGCGGAAAGTCAAGTTCGGAGGCAGGGAAAGGAACTACTGGGAGAAAAAGAAGAGGAAAGTGCGGGGCCGCAGCGGGGACAGGGTCGCAGGTGCGGACTCACGCAGCTGAGCAGCGAGCAGGCGCCCAGGCAGGCGCCCATGGCGGCGGCGCGGGACGCGGGGTGCGGGGCGCCGTCCGCGGGAGCCGGGAGCCGGGCGCCGGATTCCTGTGTCCGCCAGCGCTGGAGCTCCGCGGGCCCGCCCCGCCCCGCCCCACCCCGACAAAGCCACGCCCTCCCCGCAAGGACGCGCCCCCGGACAGACCACGCCCCTTATCAGGACACGCCCCCCACCTGGCCAAGCCGAGCCGGCCTTGACTTTCCGGCTTGCCAGACCCACCTGGGCAGGTAGGAGGGGCGGTACTCGTAGGAAGGGTGAGTCTCAGCCGTCCCGACCTCCCTGGTCCGGCTCAGAGAGTGGTCCAAAGCGGGAATTTGGAAATAGACCTGGACTTGGGCTCCCACAAGATCACCATGTGACCCCTGTGATCCCTAGGTGCAGAATCCAAGAAGTGGTCACCGCTGACTCCTTGGCCCCTGACACAGAGCCTCTGCGCAACAGCATGTTGAATGATGACCGACTGGATAAGAAACGTGGGTAGGTCATGTCACCGCTCTGAGCCTCCGTTTTCCTGCGGCAAGGCTGGGGTACTTACCTCACGGAGGCTCCTGGGCCAGCACGTGCTTGCTGATTCTTGAGCTCGGGCCCCCGCGCTCTCCCTCAGCATTCCTACTTATAAAGCCTAGCGCTCCTCAAACACCAGTGACTCACGCCTATAATATTAGCTGCTCAGGAGGCTGAGACTCTGGATCTCCAATTAACTAGTAAAAAATAAAAAACGCTGGAAGTAGAAAAGTAACAGTATGTCTCAAGTGGTAGAAGACTAGCCTTGAGCAGAAGTCAAGCAAGAGTGAGGGGTTCTAAGTTCAAGCCCCAGTACACACACATACACACACACACACATGCACACACACCCACACACAAGGCTAGCACTCTACCACTTGACCCAGACCCCCAATCAGATTCTTGATGCATATAAGCACCTGATCTAGGCCCCACCGTGGTCTCCGTCCCTTCTAAGACTTCTACTTCACAGTCTTTCAAATCATTACCCCTCTATCCACCTGCTCAAACTCTAATGACTTCAACCAGCCTGCCTTGGGCCACAAGCTCCCCCCAGCCATGCTCCATGACCCCTCACTCCCTGGGCCCAAACCCTGGGCCTTAGCTAAGCTGGGATGAAGGGAAGTGGGGTGGAAGGGAGGTGGGAAGAGTGTTTCCTGGCAGATCCTCACCCCTCCAGATAGGTGGGAGAGACTGAGCAGCCGGGCTGTGTAATTACTCTAGTTCTGCCTCCAGTCCTCTCCTCCAACGCTAGACTGGATAATGTTGGGGAAGGAATCTAGGTGCCTCACAGCTAGCCCTAGGAGCCAAAGATCCAGCCTGACTGCTTCCTTCCATGATTCATGGGGCACCAGCCTAGGCCATTAATTGTGACAGGACTGTTCCCCAAGCACAGCCTATACTTTCCCTCCCCCATACCTTTGCCTACATAAAGCTGTGCTCATGAAGGTCCTTCTCCTTCTCCTCCTTCGACCCCTTCAAAAACTTGCTTATGTTCCATATGTTTTCAAGAAAGAGAACTACAGCCACCACCACCAGTCACTACCTGGTCCCTCTGGCCAGAGGAATGAATGGATCCCCTCTTGCTTTCCTTCTGTCTCCAGAACAACAGGAGCTTTATGAGGCCTCATAAATAACTCAAGTCCCCACCAAACTTGAGAAAGTGTCACCACCTTTTTCTTGGCACCACCTAAGCCTTACAACTGCCCCGAGAAGTAGGTGAGTTCTGTACCCTAACCTAGAGATGAAGAAACTAAGTCTCAAAGAAAGGACATCCTATGGGTAAACTGAGCACTGACCAAACCCTGGCTGTGATTACAGTATTTCTTATCACTGCTCAAGTCCACGCAGTCAGAGGCAGAGCTGTATGCCTACCCCCACCCCCACCCGGTGTAGCTGTGACCTCAGACCCCAAGGCCTATCCCTCACAGCCACTTGGAAAATGGAGGTGATAAGTTTCAGCCTTCTCTCTTTCTGCTCAGCAATTCTTCAGTCCTTAGGAGACTTGAGTTGCCATGGGTCATCCGCTTTACTGCTGGTTGCCCTATTATCCTACACTGCCCTGTGCGTAGCTCAGGCTCTGCAGTCTACAGGGCAGCACACCAGCTCCGTTTCCTGATTCTGCTATAATGATTGTGAAAACAGCTTCCACATGGCCACCAGCTACCCAATCAGTCCCCCATGCTGAGGTGAGCCCTCCAGAGCCCCATCCCTGGGCCAGCTCCTTTGATCACTTCCCTGAGCTCTCTACCCAGCAGCCCTTCCCTATCCATGTCCAGTCACAAAAATGCCCAGAGGACAGAGGAAGGACAAATGCAGCAGTGGCACTCAATAGATACTATGTAGGAAATGAACTATACAAATTGTGGGTGGAGATTGGAGGGAAAAACGAAGAGAGTGTGGAAAGGGGTGACATTGTCCAAAGGGAAATGCACCCATTACCTGACTTATGTAACTGTAACCCTTTTGTACATCACCTTTATAATAACAATTTAAAAAGTTATTTTAAAATGCCCAGAGGGGCAACACCTGGGCTTCTTGTTCCACGCTTCCTCCCACAACCGATGCCATCCTGGGGAATGCATCCCCTCTCCTACCTCCACCCCTCCCCTGAAGTAAGGCTGGTTATTCCTTCCAATCTCAAAGAGCAATTGTGAGCAAACACATCCTAAGAAAGGAGGGAAGGGCTAAAAGGACCGAGAAGAGAGAAATTTCTTCTGGTTTTAGGTTGTCATTTTTCAGAGGACACCAGGGTCATGCGCTGCCATGGTCCTGGCCTTATCCCTGCCAGAGACCCAGGACAGCTGAGCTCCCACAGCCCCATCCCCACCGCTCAGCACGAAGGGCCCGCTGCTCTGTACACCACTCACTGTGTAGCGTGCTTCTGGTGGCTCTTCCGCCTCCTTCAGCCTCACGCTTCTCATCTGTAAAAGGGAGATAATCGTTTTTGCTCTAGCTGATCCGGCGACTACTGAGGAGAGGATGTGAGAAAATAGATGAAGAGGCTTCACTGCGTAGCAGCAATGGCCAGCTCATTTCTTCCAGTCCTGGAGCCTCCTGCACAGGGCCAGAATAACTCTGTCTCTTATACCACCAAGGACAGAACCACAATCCGCAGCTGTGTGACCACAACAACCTCTCTGAGCCTCACTGAAAGACTAAGATTCAAGGATTCAGATCCTCTCCTCAATGCCATATAAACTATATGCATTGAGAGAAACGCACGAGGATCATTTGGCTTATCTTGTCTGTGCCATCATCCCACCTAGACTCAGCTCCCCAATCCCCAGTGAAAAGAGGTCTGATTCCATGGACAATGTGCTCCAAGGCTTCTCTACTTTGATCTTACTGGGTCTTACTTCAAATTGACAATATAGGAAATTAACCATGCCCAGTCCCTCAGTACTTCCCAGCTTCTCCCAACCCCTTCGTCCCCCCCCACCTTCCCCTCCCCCCCATCTCCTCTCACCATCCTCCCATCCATGAGGACTCAGATGTGCTGCTGCTGTGAGCCTCCTGTTCCCGGGGCCTTGCTCTTTGCACTGGCCTCCACTTCCTGCTTCTGACCCATTTACAGAATAGGGCTGAGGCCGTCCTTTATGAATATGCATGTAGGATAATGAGGGCTTTGCATTGGAGAAGCATCTAGTTAGTGACATAGTTGCCATCCACCCTTTTCCTCTCATCACACAAACCCCAGAGCTAAGGCTGCGCTTCCTCCCAAAGGGCACATGGGAGTTTGGGGCAGAAGCCAAAGTAACAGCAGCAACAACAACCTATAAGCACCCACACCATGCTGGGCCCCCTGCTCAAAGCATCTCCTACAAGATGCACTGAAGGTGGGACCTACTAGCAGATAAGGGGGTTGATGTCCTCAAAACTTAAGCAACTCAAACCCAAGCCATGCATAGGATGGGTGCTGTATGTACGGAGCCAGGTAGAATCCGGGATGTCTCCAGTGGATGGGATATCAGAACTGATGCTTTTAACCCCTGCTGCCCAGCTCCTCAGGGCCAGGCTAAAACTTCACGTGCAGCAGGTGAGCCCACATGGTCTTAGGTGACGAGGCCTTGGGAGAGGACCCAGGCTGTGAAGTGACTTCCAGTGGAAATGGTGACTGCTCACAGGTGCACAGGCCCACACAGGAAGCTGTGTAGGCTACCCTGTGTCCCTGTGGCTGCCCTGCATACGCACCTTTGTGCTGCTTGGGGGCCTTGTTTCTTGTCTCTTCTTCTTTTTTTATTTTACTACCCTTAAGTAGTTGCACAAAAGGGTTCCAATTCAGCACGCCAATTTCTGCGTACAACGCATACTGATCAATGTCACTCCTTTCATCGTTCTCCACTCTATCTAGCTGAACCTCCTGGGGGTATTATTCAACCAACAGTTCCAAAGGGCTGGCCCTGAGGATCATGGTGACAGTCCCTGCCACATGAGGACAGTCTGGTGGGCTTTGTTCACTACCAGCACTCACACTCCAGCAGGACTCTCATTCACTTGGGGGGGGGGCTGATCTTGGGGGAGAAGAGTGGTGAAAGTGGAAAGGGTCAGCATGTGGCGTGTGGAGCTGCCAGGTCTCTGGGGCTTCCCTCCCAGGTCTCAAGGGTCTGCTGTGAATGCTCACACGGGCAAAGAGAGTGGGCGCACAGGGATTGTGGATGGTGTTCTCTATGTGTGCACATGTGGCTCTGTGTATGAAGCATGCATGTGTGGGATTGGGACATGAGTAACGTGTGTGTTGTACGTATGTGCTTTACATGCAGGTGTGTTTTGGTATGCGCAAGTATGTAACAGGGACAGTTACTATGAGAGAGGAGAGAGAAAATGTCATTACATTTCTTAACCCTAAAATACAAGGCAAAAATGAAATAGATGGATGAAGAAAAGGATGGATGGCATATGGATGATGGATAAGTGGGTGGGTGAGTGGGTGGCTGGATGGATGGGAAGGATGGATAGATGGACGCATGCATGCATGGGTGGATGATGGATGGGTGGGTGGATGGATGGGTAAATGTTGGATGCATGGGTGGGTGGGTGGGTGGGTGGATGGATGGGTGGATGGAGAAATGTATAAGTGGATGGATGGAGAGATGGAGAGATGGAAGGAGGGCTTGAGGGAAGACTGGATATGTGATATGTACAATGTTGACTATAGGCTCTAGGCAATGAGTGTTTGACACAATGCTTTTGTAGTAGAGTATACACTCAAGGTGGGTTGGACAGCTAGTCCCAGAAAACTATGGACAAGACCAAAAGAACAGCACGCTTGTCAGACAATGTCAAACTTGACTTCAAAACACTGTGAACATAAACTTTAAAAAATAATTCCTATAATTATCTTGAGTCTCTCAATTGTGTTTCTGTGTGTGTGTGTGTGTGTGCTTGAAATTTAACTTGTTAAATACAAACATGTAAAATATACTGTAATTGTGACCATCCTGTTTAGGCCCCAGAAAATGGCAGTGGTCTGTCCCAGTGCCTGTGCTGGAAATGTGCATGTGGACAGGTAGGCCAATTCCCTGTGAGGGCCCACGTGGAGAGCTTAGCCTTTTCCTGGCCCCCATGAAGCCAGCACCATTGCTGGACTGAGGGAGCTGTCATTCTACTAAGGATGAGCAGCCACCAGCCCCAGGGGACACTTGGAACCAGGAGCTCTGTCATCTAAGGCTTGGACACGCTCGGGCCAAGCCGCGTCCCCTGGCTAGAAGTAGGAGTGTGGGTGGCTGGATCTCAGGCGTTTCCTGGAGGGGGTGAGGCAAAGGCAGGGTGTCCAGAGCCTTCCTGGAGCCCAGCCAGTGGCTCCTTTCTTCCTGCTCATACATTCACTATCCCCTGCCTGGACCATGTGTTCTCCTCTGCTCAGTGTGTTGGGCCCAAGCTGTTACACTGTCTTGTGGAACAGATAGAGAAACTGAGGCCTGAAAAGAATGGACCTACTGGGGCCACAAAGGAAGTTAGTAACAGCACTGACCCAGGGCCTGATAGGGGCTTGCAGGAGGAAGATCCAGGCCCAGCAGACACAAGGGTGAGACCAGAATCCCTTGCTGCATGTACACATCACACAGCATCCAGGAGGTCAAGGTGGGCACTATAAACAGCACAGGGCTGAAGACAGCACCTCAGTTCAACTCCCAGTCCTGCCATGGACCATCAGAGTGACACACACACACACACACACACACACACACACACACACACACACGGGAAAGCCACAGGGGTGATTCAAGCTGTGTTCATTTTACAGATGAAGAAACTGTGATACAGAGAGAGCCATGGAGCTGTTTGGACAG